CTCCAGTTCCAGAGGAATCCAAAGCCCTCTTCTGATCTCCACAGCACTGCACGACATGGGTGTACTCATATACATGCAGTATGTACTCATACACATAAAATAAAAATAATATATTTTTGAAAAAAAAAAAAAAAAAAACTTAAAATGGCCAGGGATGGTGGCACCTACCTTTTAATAACAGCACTCAGGAGGCAGAGGCAGGAGGAGTGCAATAAATTAAAGCAAAAAACAAAATGTTTGGCTTCATTAGTCATTAGGAAAATGTACATCAAAATCATGATGAGAAACACGCACAAAGACATACATAATGAAAGACAATTAATACCAAAACTAGCAAGGATGTGGAGAGACTGGAACACACCTGAAGGGATGGTGGGAGTGCAAATGGTACAGTGAGCCACTTTGAAACAGAATCTGGCAGTGTCTTTAAACATGATCATAGTAAAGCCTAACAATTCTACTCAAAAGAACTGAAAACACGAGAAAAACTGTATATAAATGTTTGTATCAGGGACTAGAGATAAAGTTCAGCAGGTAAGAGCACTTGCTGCTTTTCCACAGAACCCTAGTTCGGTTCCTAGTACTTATATAGTGGCTAACACCTGTCGTTAACTCCAGTTACAGGGGATCCGATGCCCTCTTCTAGCCTCCACAGTGCACTTACATACAGGTAAAATAAACAATTAGCTGGACGGGGTAGCGCATGCCTTTAATCCCAGCATTTGGGAGGCAGACATAGGCAGATCTCTGTTGAGTTCCAGGTCAGCCTGGTCTACACAGAGTTCCAGGCCAGCTGGGGTTACAGGAAGACCCTGTCTCAAAAAGACCAAAAATAAATAATTTTTAAAAAAATTTTAGGGGTTAGAGATGGCTCAGTGGTCAAGAGCACTAGCTGCTCTTGTAGATGACCTAGGTTCAATTCCCACATCCACATGGCAGCTAACAACCATCCATAATTCCGATTCCATGGGAATTCGACACCCTCTTCTGCCCTCCATTGGCACTGCATGACATGGATGCACTTACATGCATGCAAGCTTTACATTCATACACATAAAATAAAAAAATAATAGGCCAGGGCTGGGCATGGTGGTGCATGCCTTTAATCCCAGCACTAGGGAGGCAGAGGCAGGAGTATCTCTGTGAGTTCAAGGCCAGCCTGGTCTACATAGTGAGTTCCAGGACAGCTACAGGGAGACCCTGTCTCAAAAAGACATAATAATAATAATAATAATAATAATAATAATAATAGGCCAGATGTGATGGCGCACTCCTTTAATATAGCACTCAGGAGGCAGAGGCAGAGGCAGGCGATCTCTCTGCGTTCAAGGCCAGTATGGTCTACATAGCGAGTTCCAGACCAGCTGGGGGGGCTACAGGGAGACCCCATCTCAAAAAGACCAAAATAATAATAAGTGAAATATTTTTAAAATTTTTAAATTGCCCAGCATGATGGTACATGCCATGAATCCCAGCATTTGAGAGGCAGAGCCAGGTGGATCTCTATGAGTTCAAGGCCAGCCTGGTCTACAAAGTGAGTTCTAGGCCAGTGAGAGCAACACAGTGAGACCCTGTCTCAAAAACCAAACACAGAAAAAATTTAAATTAAAAAAAAACTTTGTAACAATATTATTCATAATAGTCAAAAAGTAGACACTACCAGGGCTGAAGAGATGGCTCAGTGGTTAAGAACACTGGTTGTTCTTGCAGAAGACCCGGGTTCGAATCCCAGCACCCATATGGTAGCTAACAACTGTCTGTAACTCCAGACCCAGGGGATCCAACGGCCTCTTCTGACCTCCACGGCTATCACATGATAACGCAATACACACGTACACATGAAAATATAATTTTTTAAAATTTTATTTATTATATTTATTTTATGTGTACGCGTGTATTGCCTGCATGTAGGTAAGTAAGTGCACCCGTGTTGTGCACTTAACCACTGAGCCATCTCTCCGGCCCAATAAAATGTTTTTAAAGTTTTAAAAAATAAGTTAGCCAGGCGTGGTGGCACACACCTTTAGTCCCAGCACTCGGGAGGCAGAGGCAGGTAGATCTCTGTTGAGTTCAAGGCCAGCCTGGTCTACATAATGAGTTCCAGCATAGCTGGGGGCTAAAGGAGACCCTGTCTCAAAAAGACCAAAAATAAAAATAGTAGATGCTACCAAAATGTCTACCAATTGATGAACATATAAAATGTGGCACAGGGGTTTGAGAGATAGCTCAGCAGTTAGGAGAGCATACTGCTCTTCCAAAGGACCCACGTTCAGTTCCCAGCACCCACATCAGGTGGCTCATAACTACCTTTAACTCCAGGGGATCCAACATCCTCTTCTGGCCTCCTTGGGCATGTGCATGCACATACACATACACACACACACACACACACACACACACACACACGCATTCACTCACAAAGACACACATGTACACTAAAAATAAAAATCTATTAGAAATAAAATATGGCTCACCCACACAACAGAACATCACTTGGCCCATTAAAAACAGCTCATTGCCCGGCGTGGTGGCGCACGCCTTTAATCCCAGCACTCGGGAGGTAGAGGCAGGTGGATCTCTGTGAGTTCGAGGCTGGCCTGGTCTACATGGTAAGTTCCAGGACAGCTGGGACTACAGGGAGACCTTGTCTCAAAAAGACAAAAAAAAAAAAAAAACAGCCCCACTATTCATACAAACAGAGAAAGCCATAATAGGAACTTAGTGGCTGGTTTTGTTAAAAGCACTGACTCTTCACTTGAGTCTGTACATGTTTAATGGTAAGTTAGAGCAGGATAGAAGCTTAGACTTGTCCTTTATTGAGTTATTCGCTCTTATGACTCATGTTGGATTCCAGTATTAAGAGATCTAATGGATAAATAATCTTGTTGGAATGGTTGAAACTACCCTCCTAGGCAGCAGCAACTGTCTTACCAACAAGGCCTAATCCTGAAATAATGACCAATCAGAACAAGATTCGCCAGCCACACAAACCCCTAACCTACACTATGAAGCCAACACAATTATTAGCGTCTCGGGATCAACACTTTTACTCACTAGACTGCCATTTTATTCCCTAAAAGTGGTCAAGCTGGGAATAAATTGTTGCTTCACCACCATTCACTTCTACAGCTAGCCTTTTGGGATGAGTGTCCAGACCTAGTTCATGGGGAATCCCATAGTCAAGTCTCTGGCCTAGGACTGTAATTACAAAAGCCTAAGTTAAATAAACCTGTCACAAAGGCCAAAGGCATATTTTCTATTCCATTCCTACATTCTGTCCAGAAGAAACAGAAAATAAACAGACCAATGGCTGCCCAGGGCCAGGCCAGGATAAGAAGGGATTGCTAAAGGATTAGGTTTCCATTTTAGGGGAAATGAAAGTGTTCCAGAATTACACAGCAATAAAGTTTGCACAACTGTGAATATATTGAAAAAACACTAAACTGTGTAACCTGAGAGTGAATTTCAAGGTATGTGAATGCTATCTCAATAAAGCTATTAAAACAAAGCAACAAGTTCTCTTGCTATAATAACTTCATACAGACTGTGGAAGATAAAACAAAGTACTTTTTTTTTGTCTTTTTGAGACAGGGTCTCCCTGTAGCCCCAGCTGTCCTGGAACTTACTATGTAGACCAGGCTGGCCTCGAACTCACAAAGATCCACCTGCCTCTGCCTCCCAAGTGCTGGGATTAAAGGCGTGCACCACCACGCCCAGCAGTAACATGCCCCAGAAACAAAACTTCCTTTGCAGAAAGGTGCAGTTTCAAAAGATCCTCTGAAGTCACAGGAAGAAGTATGGGAGAGCTACACTGTGCTCTTCCACCTTTCTACAAAGCTACCAGAGGAGCCTAGGCATTCTCAGGACATTAAGATCTCTCTCTGCACCAAGTAAAGTACCTCCTCAAAGCACGCATTCAGTGAATGTGCCTTGAAGAAAGTTAACTGGCTATTTGCTCCTTTCAAGAAGATATGCAGTATATTTATATGTAACTGACTTTTGAAGGGGAAGGATTGAGAAAGCCCTTGGAGAGCCTTTAGGCAGTGCTAACAGACAGTCTTTAGTGCAGTGAGAAAGAGACTTCAGGTGGAGACAGCAGCACATGGGAAAACCAGTAGAGGCAGGAATGCATAAGGTGTGTTCAAGGTCCTGATGACTTGGAACAGATGAGCTAAGACCTCTGCCAAAATTTAATGTCTCTACACTTGATAATTATTGAGTAGTTTTTATTTTTTTGGTTTTTTTTTTTTTTTTTTTTCGGTCTTTTTGAGACAGGGTCTCCCTGTAGCCCCAGCTGTCCTGGAACTCACTATGTAGACCAGGCTGGCATTAAACTCACAGAGTAGTTATTAAAAATGATGTGAAAATTTAAAACCTTAAGAATATCATTCTAGAGGCCGGGTATGGTGGCACACACCTTTAGTCCCAGCACTCAGGAGGCAGAGGCAGGTGGATCTTTGTGAGTTCAAGGCCAGCCTGGTCTACATAGTGGGTTTCTGGCCAGCTGGGGCTACAGGGAGTCCCTGTCTCAAAAAGACCAAAAAGAAGAAGGGAAAAAAAAAAAAAAAGCATATCATTCTAGAAGCAATGTGGAAAACTCTGTGAGCAGAGGAGCCAGTCAAAGAAGCAACTTCAATAACCCAGGTGAAAAATAACATAGGGCTGAATGGAATATTCAGCATCTTCTCTAACATTAGTGGCTCAGAAGATGAGGACATTAACAGAGAAAAGAAGTGAGTCAGTAAGTCAGGTGGGCAACAGGGATTTGTTTTGTGCAAGGCACAGAGCCCCAGAACAAATATCTAATCTAATAGGTTAAACAAAATTTGTGCGTGTGAAACATGTAAATGGGGGTGTGGGCACCAATGGAACAATAACAATAGTAACAAGAAATAAAATACAATTAAGAGACGTAGGAACAGCTTTATCAATTCACACATCAATTTCTTATTTTTAACAAAGCTTAATGCATTAAACATTAACTAAAAATCACCACTTACCTGTACTTCTCTGACAACCTGCAAACAATCAGGCAAGGAGAAGCCAATAGGTAGACCAACTTTAGCTGGTGTTTTGAATTTGTCTCCTATCTTAAATGGGACATCATCAAGGTAACTGAAAGTCCCTACAATCAAAAATAAAGTAGAAAACATCAGCAAAGAACTTTGTTGCTCTGCTATAATCTTAGGTTCAGTGGACACACATTCACTTATGCTAAGACCTGAAGCCCATTCGCCAGCAGCTTACCTGCTTCTGACCCAAGATCACCAAGAAAATCCTTAGTCTATTTCACTATTAGAATTTGTTTTCCATTATACCTAGTGTTTTAAAAGCCAAAGTATTCACAGCAGCCTAAAAAAAGCACCCCCTACCCCACGGCTCCTTGCTCTGTCCTCATCTCCTAGCAACTGTCTTCTGGCTTACTGCCTAAGTCATGGTGACCTCTGCCTGCAATGATGATAGGCTCAATTGGCCTCAGAAAGTTCCATATTGGCTGTCCCTACTATCTAGAATGTTCTTCCTTCAGATTCACATGACCCACTCCTTTGCCTCTTCAGCTCTTTGTTCCTTAAATGTTACTTTCTCAGTGAGGGTTAATATCAGCATCCTACTGAAAATTAGGATCCATCCTCACTACTCACATACTACAATTTGACTTTGCCTCACAGTATTTATCTTCTAATATACTATGTAGCTGACTCATTATATTTACTGTCTATATTGCCCAAGGAAATGAAAGCTCCTTACAGCCATGTTGATGTAAGTATCTTATTCAATGATGTAGTCTCAAAATCAATTTTTCTTTGGTTTTTGTTTTCTTTTGGAGACAGGGTCTTGTTACTAGCCTTGGGCTGGCCTTGAGCTCACAATCTGACTATACTAGCTCCCAGGTAGCTGTGTTTACAGTGCATGCCACCATACACAATTTATATTCTCAAAATCTACAGTACTGTCTGATACTTATGTGATAATTGATAAATACTGAATTATTGATAGATTCTTTACAACAGAAACTCCTTGGAGTTCTCTACAAACTTTTATTTCTTTTTTAAGGAAACTGAAGTAACAATCACTTTTAAATACAAGAATAATACATTCTAGAATAACGTCCCCATGCTGGTGACAAACCCAGGGCCTCTCACATACATTAAGCACTCATTCCACCACTGAGTTACTTCCTCAACCCTCCATTTGGAAATATTTAAGCAGCACAGCACTTGTAAGAAAAGGGGATAATCACAAGATCATGGAAATCCGCTCAGACATAAGTTATATACAGGGCATGCTTGTCACTCATGGATCAGGCAAAAAGACAGTGCCTCTTGTATATCATTTTCTGCATACTTCTAACTGGGTCAGGATTTCTTTCTGAACTAATTCTGGTAAACTAACTTACTGGCAGACAAATAGATAGAACTAATAGAGTAAGTTCTACTTGTTCATTATCGGCAGCTAGTAAAACAAGGCTTACTTATGACCCCCCGGTGCCATATTTTCATGTGTGCTCATGAACACACAGATTAAGGCATCTCTTAATTACAACTCTTCTAGGCACACCTTTTTCATTCTAAAAACTGTATACATCTGAAGGCTAATCCAGATCAAAAATTTGCTAACATTTCATCAATCTTCTGGAATATTCAAACCTTCTACTGGGAAGAACACCCTTGCTCCCATCCTTGGGGAATGGAGTCTTTCCTTCCCATGATTTTTAGGCAGAATGAAAATACTTCAGCTACTTCTCACATGGGTGGAAATTAAATCCACAATGTCATGATCTTTCTGGAACTCTAGGAAATTTTCCAAATGTGGTCATACTTGCAAATGTGCTGTTTTCTCAACTGGCAATGTCCATCTCAACCCCACTATTATTTACTTAAGTAATGCTTTATAGTCCTTTAAAATAAATACAAGCAGGATGCAGTAGACACAACTGTACTCCCAGCCATTCTGGGGTAGAGGTTACAAGCTGGAGGCACTTAGTGATGCCTTGTCTCAAATTTAAAAAAAAAAAAAAAAAATCAAAGAATAAAGAAAAAGGGCTAAGGAGATTTTCAACTAATTAAGTGCCTGCCTTGCAAGCATGAGGTCCTGAGTTCAATCCCTAGGACCCATGTAAAAAGGCCAGGCACAGTGGTGCACACTTGTTATTTTACTATGAAAGGACAGATGGATCCCTGGGGCTATCTTTAGCCAATCGGCCTAGCCTACTTGGTGAGCTCCAGAACAGTCAGATCTCGTCTCAAAACACAAGGTAGGCGGCACCTGAGACTGTCCTTCTGGCCTCCATATACATGGACACACAGGTGCAGCACACATACACACAAAGAATAAACAATAATTTCCCTCTCAAACACTCAGTTCAACACCAGCATCCTCAGGATGGACAACTATGTATTGTTTAATAATCTGTTTCCTTATTTTCCCCATAGAGAATTCAAGCAAGAATTTGAGCATGCCCAAATAACAGAGAAATGCTCATACTTCTATCTCCCAAAACTTGGCATAATCTCTACCAGATGAGGTTTGTTCAATGAATAAAGAACAAGAAGACAGCTCTGATACTTCTCTTGTACTTGACTCTTACCCCAACCCAACTTATGTATGATTAATATCTATTAAAATTCAAAATAGCTTGCCAAAAAAAATGGCAAAACTAGCTATGTGGTGGGGAATTGTTTTGTTTGTTTAGCTTTTTGAGACAGACTCATGTAGCTCTAGCTAGCCTCAAATCTGCTGCGTAGCCAAGATTCCTGGCCTTGAACTCCTGATCCTCTCACTTCTATCTCCCAAGTGCTAGAATTAAAGGCATGTGGCACCATATCCAGCAAAAATAGTTGGTTTACGAGGTTGATACAGTTGTGGTTTTCTTTTGTCTTAGCGTCTCACTCAGCCTCACTGGCTTCAAGCTGTCTTTTTTCCATGTAGCTCAGTCTGGCCTTGAACTCCTGATTTTACACCTCCTGAGTACTGGGATTAGAGACATGCACCACTATACCTTGCTACTTTTAGAGGGGTTTAGAGACACAGCTGTGCAACCCAAGCTGGTCATGAACTCACAATCTTCCTTACCCACCTCACTAGTGCCAGGGTTTCCAGTGTGCACCTCCATACCCTGCTATAAAAGTGGGTTTTTTAACTAACTGGATATGAATCAGCAGCTTGTCCTTAGAAGGGCAGAATCAGGGTAGGTGACAAAGGGTGAAAAGTTTTTATTATTCAAAATACAGATCTACTAGATATACACCACAGTACCTAGAGTTAACAACATCATATTAGATACTAAAATTGCTAATAGGTGAAAATTTTGTTGTTTCTGAAAGAGGTCTTTGCTATATAGCCAGGCTAGCCTCTAATTTGAGATCCTCCTGCCTCTGCATCTGAGTTGGGGGCTGCAGGCATGTACCATGCCTGGGTCAAGAAGAAAGAGCTTAGTTAAGTGTTCTTATTCTCAAGTACAAATATGTGTGCACATACCCCCACACAGTAAGCCCTCAGTATCCATGAGTTCTTCAACCATCAATTCAACCATCTAAGATAAAAAATATTCAGTGAAACCAGACAATGGTACATGACTACAATTTCAGCCCTTAAGAGGCTGAGGCAGAATATTTAAGAGCTCAGCCCAGGCTACATAGGGAGATCCTAGCTCAGAAAACAAACAAGAATACTGAGAGGAGAGGTGTCTGTACTGAACACACTGTTTCCTTCTGATTGTCCCTCAAGCAATGTGACTACTGTATTATACATGTCACGTAACAACTGCTCACATAGTACTTACATTTTCGTAGGTACTGTAAGTTAAACCATACAGGAGATGTTCAATCTATACAAGGTATTCGACAATAGTAAATTTTGGTGCCTGAAGCCAATCTCTGGTGAACACAGAAGAACAACTATAATAATATAAGGGACCAAAAGGAAACTATGGAAGGTGATGGACATGTTTATAACTTGATGGTAGTGATGGTTTCTTTCATGGGAGTACACCTATCAGCAAACTATCAAGATGTGGTCCATTTGCTATGTACAGCTTTTTATATGTCAATCAAAACCCCAAAAGGTAGGAATTTAGTTTTATTAAGTCCTATTATAGAGATCTCTTTTTTCCTAAATTATTATGTATCTCAAGACGCTTTCCCAGATATCAAAGACTCTTTAAGGACCTGGGTACAGTGACACCTGCCTGTAATCCAAGGTGGAGGTGGAGGGAGGACTGAAAATTCAAGGCCAGCCAGGATTACAATAGTGATTACCAGGCCAGCCTAAACTTACATAGCAAGATCTTTTCTCAAAAAACAATATGAAAGAAAAAAGTCCAGCTGGAGGGATAGCTCGGTGGTTAAGAGCACTGACTGCTCTTGCAGAGGACCTGGGTTCGATTCACAGTACACACATGACAACTAAGAACTGTCTTTAACTCCAGTTCCAGGAGAATCCGATGTCCTCTTCTGAGACATTGCACAACACGAGTGTATACATGCAGGCAATACGCACATACACACAAAATAAAATTAGTGGAAAAAAAAAGAAGAAAGTTGGGTGTGGCAGCACACCCCTATAATCCCTATCCAAAAAGAAAAAACATAATACATTCACACACAGACAGACAGACAGACAGACAGACAGACAGACACACACACACACACACACACACACACACACACACACACACATCTTTAAAAGTCACTTCTAGGAATAATTTTCTTTAGATAAAACAAGAATGAATTGAAAATTAAAAACAGGAGGCTGGACAGATGACTCAGCAGTTAAGAACACGAGCTGCTCTTTCTTACAGAGGACCCAGGTTTGGTTTCACAGAACCCACATGGTGGACTAACACTAAGTCCCAGAGGAATCTGATGCCCTCTTCTGGCCTCCACAGGCATTGCATAGACAGGTATACTTATATACATGCAGGCAAAACACATAAAATTTTTTAAATAAATTTAAAAATTAAGATAAGGCCAGGGGAGGTGGGACACATCTTTAATCCTAAAACTCAGGAGGCAGAGGAAGGCAGATCTCTGTGGGATCAGCCTGGTCTACATATCAAGGTCCAGGCCAGCTGGTACTATAGGGAACCCCTGTCTCAAAAAAAAAAAAAAAAAAAAAAAAAAATTAAAGAGGATTAACTTTGGGGAAAGGGGAAGACAGTACTGGGGATTGCATATGCTAAGAAAATTTTTACACCCCAAAGCTGGACCACAAATCCTTTTTATTTTTATTTTGAGACAGAGTTTTATCAAGTTTCTCAGGCTAGCCTTAATTCACTATGTAACCCAGGCTTGCCTACCTCAGTCTCCCCCTCAGTCTCCCAAGTGCTGTGATTACAGGGGTAAGCCACCTCTAACATTTAATTACCAGGCTCCAAGAAAATCCTAATTTAAACTAAGCACAGGGCTTATACTTTACGAAAGAAAAAAAAAATACACACACACAATTTGGTCTTTTTGAGACAGGGCCTTCCTGTAGCCCCAGTAGGCCTGGAACTCACTATGTAGACCAGGCTGGCCTTGAACTCAAGAGATTTGCCTGCCTCTGCTCCGAGTGCTGGGATTAAAGGCATGTGCCACCACGCCCAGTCAAAAGACAATATTTCTAAAGTCTGAAAAATAATTTTCATTTATTCTCTAATTTAGGGATATGTAGCTATTAATAAAGAAGTTAAAGAGTTCCTTTGAAAACAATGAACTTGAAACTGAATCAAATGCTAGTCACAAAACTAGACCTGTGCAGAATAAGACCTAGTCATTCCCAAATACAGAAACAGAAAAAGGGCATTTAAAATGTATTTATTTGGGGCTGGAGAGATGGCTCAGTGGTTAAGAGCACTGACTACTCTTGTAGAGGACCCAGGTTCAATTCCCAGCACCCACATGGCGGCTACAAACTGTCCTTAACTCCAGTTCCAGGGGAATCCGAAGCTCTCTTCTGACCTCCGCAGCACTCCATGACACGGGTGCACTCACATACATGCAGGCAATACACTCATACACACAAAATAAAAATAATAAAGCT